TGTGTTTTTAAATTTACCAATTTTTTTTTAGATTTTTCTTTCGAAATGTATGTTGATTATTTCCTTAAAAGTTTGTACTTGGTGTCCAAGGCGTAATATATGTATATATATACTCTGCATGTAATCAATCGTTATTAAGAACGTTTGTATTAGTTAAATCTTAATCATCTCTTCTTTGTTATATTTTGCTTTCTTTTCTACCTTCAAATATGTCCAATTATTTAATTTCCTTAAAAAAATTATTCTTGTCTTTTATGTAAACTCTATGCAAGTGTCGCTAAAGAGAAAACTAACACCCACACGAGAAATCACCTTAACATAGTTTTAGAGATTTTAGAAAAAAAAATGTCTCAACTTATCAGCCAATTCTTGAAGCCTCTTGTATACAAAAATGTCCTCGTAAGATTTCTTTTTCTTATTTTCTATGGACATTTTGGGATTTAATCTACTATACTATTGGTTCATGTTGTACATATGATTAGTTTAACGTACTTACATTTCGCAGAGTCACAATAACATGGTCCGGTGGTGTTCGTCTACGACATACTACTCGTTTTTGTTAATTGACCACATACTTAAGGTCGGAGATTCTTCCGATGGTCGCATAGAAAGAGGGTCCGAATCAGAAGTTCAAAAGGAAGTTCTGATTAAGGACGAGGAACTCGCTAAAGAAGTCCGTAATTCGATGAATAACGAATTTATTCAAAAGAGGCCGGAAATTCACATGGTGGATAATACTGGTAATGTTCGTCTCTACATGGAATACATACAAGAAATTCACTCCATATCAAAACATCAAAAGATATACCAAAACTTTCAATTTCCTACTCTTCCCAAAGGCTCTCAAATCCAAAACCTAGCGATGTCTTGTCATCCTGACCTAAACAATGAAGATTGGGTAGTGGCTGTCAAGTTTTCAGGATCACAACTTAGGCTTTATAGGCATAAGGATCCGAGGTGGATCGATATCAAAACCACTCATGAGTCTATAAGCCCATATTCGAGTCTCATGTTTTCTAAGAAAGATCAAAGGTTCTACGTTCCAACTCCTGGATGCAAGTACTTATGCTCCTTTGATTTCAACTTCAAGGAGAAAGACAAGCCCGAGTTCGTTGAGGTTCGGAAGAAAGATTTTCCTAAGTATGAGTTGTACGAATGGGAGGAGATTCACGGGTGTACCAGGACAGACCACATGGTAGAGTCACCTTCCGGAGAACAATTCCTCATCTCATGGTATTATATTCCTTATAACGTTTTTTTTTTCTTTTTCTTAATACGTATTTAGTTGAGCTTGAGTATGAAAATATGAT